AACCACAGAACAACCACCACCAACCACAAAACAACCACAGAGCAACCATCACCAACCACAAAACAACACCCACCAACCACAGAACAACCAACACCAACCACAGAACAACCACCACCAACCACAGAAAAACAACCACCACCAACCACAGAAAAACAACCACCACCAACCACAGAACACCCACCAACCACAGAATAACCACCACCAACCACAAAAAAACAACCACCACCAACCACAGAACAACCACCACCAACCACAGAACAACCAACACCAACCACAGAACAACCACCACCACCAACCACAGAACACCCACCACCAACCACAAAACAACCACCACCAACCCAACGACACCACCAACCACCACCAACCACAAAACAACACACCACCAACCACAGAACAACCAACCACCAACCACAACCACAAAAACAACAACCACCACCAACCACAGAACAACCACCACCAACCACAGAACAACCAACACCAACCACAGAACAACCACCACCACCAACCACAAAACAACCACCACCAACCACAGAACAACCACCACCAACCACAGAAAAACAACCACCACCAACCACAGAACAACCACCACCAACCACAGAACAACACCCATCAACCACAGAACAACCACCACCAACCACAGAAAAACAACCACCACCAACCACAGAACAACCACCACCAACCACAAAACAACCACAGAGCAACCATCACCAACCACAGAACAACACCCACCAACCACAGAACAACCATCACCAACCACAACCACCACCAACCACAAACAACCACCACCAACCACAACAACACCACACCACACCAACCACAGAACAACCACCACCAACCACAAAACAACCACAGAGCAACCATCACCAACCACAGAACCACCACCAACCACAGAACAACCACCACCACCAACCACAAAACAACCACCACCAACCACAGAACAACCACCACCAACCACCACCAACCACAAAACAACCACAGAGCAACCATCACCAACCACAAAACAACACCCACCAACCACAGAACAACCAACACCAACCACAGAACAACCAACACCAACCACAGAACAACCACCACCAACCACAGAACAACCAACACCAACCACAGAACAACCACCACCAACCACAGAACAACCAACACCACCAACCACAGAAAAACAACCACCACCAACCACAGAACAACCACCACCAACCACAGAACAACCAACACCAACCACAGAACAACCACCACCACCAACCACAGAACAACCACCACCAACCACAGAACAACCACCACCAACCACAGAGCACCCAGCACCAACCACAGAACAACCCCCACCAACCACACAAACAACCCACCACCAACCACAGAACCAACCCCCATCAACCACAGAAAAAACAACCACCATCCACAGAGCAACCATCACCAACCACAGAACAACCACCATCACCAACCACAGAACAACACCCACCAACCACAGAACAACCCCCACCACAAACCACAAAAAAAACAACCACCAACCACAGATCAACCACCACAAACCACAAAACAACCACCACCAACCACAGAACAATAACCACCAACCACAAAAAACAACCCCCACCAACCACAGAACAACACCCACCAACCACAGAACAACACCCACCAACCACAGAACAACCATCACCACCAAACAACAGAACCACCACCACCAACCACGAAAAAACAACACCCACCAACCACAGAACAACCCCCACCACAAACCACAAAAAAACAACCACCAACCACAGATCAACCACCACAAACCACAAAACAACCACCACCAACCACAGAACAATAACCACCAACCACAAAAAACAACCCCCACCAACCACAGAACAACACCCACCAACCACAGAACCCCACCACAAACCACAGAAAAACAACCACCACCAACCACAAAAAAACAACCACCACCAACCACAGAACCACCACCAACCACAGAAAAACAACCACAACCAACCACAGAACAACCACCACCAACCACAGAACAACCAACACCACCAACCACAGAACAACCACCACCAACCACAGAGCAGCCATCACCAACCACAGAACAACCCCCATCAACCACAGAAAAACAACCACCATCCACAGAGCAACCATCACCAACCACAGAACAACCACCATCACCAACCACAGAACAACACCCACCAACCACAGAACCCCACCACAAACCACAAAACAACAACCACCAACCACAGAACAACTATCACCAACCAGAGAATAACCCCCACCAACCACAGAGACATATGTCTTAGATACTTTTGAGTCTTTGTGGGAAAGGTTATATTAAATGATGATGATGGTTTCTCATCTCCGTGACTCTGCCCGTTGCTGGCTATTGTCCGATTGACTAGAGTCAATTCTCTGGCGACATGAGTGGGGTGGTCCCCTCATGGGTTGGAGTCGTCCGGGGATTCACTGGTCTGAAATTTGGAGATGACTCCCTGGTCTAATGGTTGATCTTCTTGCGTTGTGTCTGGACTTCTGGTGGTGGAGGGGTCCTTGTCTTCTATGTTCAGCCAAATCTTTCGATCTTTTAGATAAGGGGAAATTCAGAAGTCCTTTCCTGATGGTTTAAGAAAAAGATACTATTGCCGAATGTAGTTATGTTTACTTTGGGCTTATATGGGCTCCTGGGCGGCGTTAAGCACCTACTCTTATTATCGATAACCGCAGGAGGAACTTTTTCGTGCGAGGTTGGACAAACCTCACACAGGCCACCGTTTAAAGTCCCGTCCGCTGGACTATGATTAGTTGTTAGCTTTTGGTGCTGGTGCCAAAACTGCGACCTTTTAACCACAGTGTGAGTATACTGAACTGCTTTTCAAAATGTTGATAGCTTTTGAGTTTCTATTCAGTCAACAGACTTCATTCACCATATCGACTTGTAAAAAGCAGTGCTTAATGTGCCTTTTTAGTGTGGTTAGTGCTGAATTGGAGAGAGGTATTATGTTGGGTCGTAAAGTTAATCAAGAAGGATAGCGGGAATTTTTACACAGGTGGGGAAGGGGTAGATTATGTTTAGTGCTGTGTTTTTATGTTGTTGTTTTTTTTTAATTTTAAGGGTTATATTAGTCTGATATAAGTAGGGAAAAAAGTACTAGTATAGTTTTGAGCAATGTTGTGATATTTATAAGTTAAAATTTGGTACAAAAAAGTACACTGAAAAATGAGTCAAATTTAAGTACAACAAATTACTCTGGAAATTTATTAAGTCCAAAGAAGTACAGAAAAGTACATCGAAAAAAATTAGTACAAAAACAAAAGCATACCAGTGATGATTGCTAGATTCTAAAGTATAAAAAAGTACACTTTTTGTACTTTTCAAAAAGTATGTACTAAAAGTAGCATTAAAGTATACTTTGGTGTCATTTGAAGGTTTTAACAAATTTGACCCCAGTGAACTTTGAATAGGCTAATGTAATTTCTTTTTGCAAACTTTTTCTGGCTTCATCTACAAACATACCAGCCAAATATTAAAACATTTAGTTCATTGGTTATTGAGAACGACGGATGCCATGCCACAGTATAAAACTCATAAATCACGTAACCATTTGGGCCAGGAGAGCTGAAAAATACCTTTCATGGTGACATGTCATGTGAAAAAATAGGCCACGCCTCCTGGAGTTCAAGACCTCGAGTAGCCATTACAGAATCTCGATGAAGCTGTGCGCACAGGGCCTCGGTTCCAGGATTTTATGTAACGTAAGAAATCATTGAATAACCACAACATTAAAAATCCAGTATTTATACACATTCTTAAACCTTATAAAAATTGGGGATATCGATGTATAAATACTGGATTGTTTTTGTGTTGTGGTTAAATTCAATGATGTCATACATAAATCCTCCCCCCCCCGCCTTTTTGCAGGATAAATACGGTATACCTGATTACCTGCATATTTTTTTTCAAGATGTTATAATGAAAAGTCAACAATTTTATTTTATGTACAGTTATTCATACTTTTAATTCAACCATTATTTCTCTGGTTGTATGCAAAGGTACAAGACAATAAATGAAAGTGTCACACAATTTATTTTCATGTTGTTATCCATTGGAAAGCCTATTATTTTCACAAATAAATTTAATATTCTCTTTGATTGTCAATTCAGTTTATTTCAAATACATCAGTGTCTTGGCTTCCTTAATAAAACACATATCAAGTCTGTATTTAGTAGTCTTTGAGTTGTTTTATGCCTTGTTGTCTTACACATCTCTCGGTCTACAATTCAAAACATATCTGCTTCTGAAATCGCCCATGGTATCAAGGGTTTCTCTTTCAAACATTGTGAATGTAAAACCTGTGAATTAAAATTACAATAATACTTCACACATAATTTTCCAGCCATAAGCAATTGTCAGAAAAAATCTGGGGTGCTACATACTGGTAGCTTTGTCTTAATATTACTTCTTATAATTAAAAAGCTACATAAATATATGATTTTAAATAATAAAAAAAAAGGGAAGGGCGGAATACACCTAATTATATTAGGATTATGCAAGCTGAAGATATGCATAAATACATTTCATGTCTTCCTTGTTAAAGGCCTACTCATGTTTGGGATGATATATAAATTATGTATACAGTATATATTTATGAAACTGTTACATATGCTTTATCCATATTACTAGTTATATCAATACCAGTATGAAACTGTTCATTTTAATCTGATGGAAATGACTGTACGAGTAAGATACATCCGTACTTTTTTCAATGCCTGGGTCGACATTGATAAACTGTTTATATATATTTATAGCGTAGTAACGTTATAATACTAATCGATAATTGATAGCCCTTGATGTCTCTGTTATCAACTATTAAAGTGAAAATTTTGAACAGAATTATCAATATTTTAATTTTATTAGCTGTCATATTTCTGTTATGTCTGACTGATTAAGGGATGTGTGTACTGGTATAACACAGGATTATTTGTACAATGTAAACTATTGGGTTCGCAAACATGTTGATGGTGTTTTAACAGATCTGCTAGTAAAAGACATGGCTATGTGGATGCTCCAACAGGGTCTCTGCTTAGTGTTGATGTTTAGACTGATCACCCAGCAGGTCTATGGGGCCAAAATTCCCTACTGTTATCCTATTGGAAAACAAGTGTACAAGGAGGGCAAATGTGTGGACTGTCCCAAGTGTGCTCCAGGCCAGTTCCTTAACAAAACAAAGGTATTTACAAATACTGTTAGTTTCAAATTTTCATACTCTGACCATTCATATCACAGAGTATTTAATATGTAGGTTTTCTGATGTGGGAATGTATGCCTTCTCAGAGGAAAATATTATGATAAAATTATCTGTGAAGTAGTTAATGGTCCTGCTTATTTCAGTTATTTGTGAAATATTTGGTTTGTTCAGCATTGCAATATATTATATATACACATTCTGTTATTTTCCATGATTCTTTTAAGGAGTGCCATAATAGATAGCTGTGATTTTATTTACTACGATTTGTTGACATAAATCTGGATTATCTGATTGGTCGACCCATCAGTGACACCATTCAGAGGAATTTGATTGGTTGACCAACCATAATGGATTTTTCATTGATAAAAGTTTCAAACAAACACCCAGTGGAAAAATTCCATTCAACCGTATATGCATATTAGCATTACTGACTGGAATACGACAACTGAAAAAAAATGTAACTGTAGACACACATTGAATGATATAACATTATATCGGATGTCAACATATAAATGATGTATATTTTTGTATTTCTCATGTACAGTACATGATGTATACAACTGAAACACATTAGGATGAAGATTACACTATAGGACAAAAATGTATATAATACTTTCCATCATGTGTGAAATGTATTAGTTCTAATGATAAAAATAAGTAATGCCTCATCTTTTTGACACAATCCAATTTATCTTGATAATTTTTGTAAGATATTTAATAATTTACAACATTAATATAAAAAGTTAGGATGTAGTGACATGTACTGTCTTCAAAATAGAACAAAAAACACCTATTCCACAAATAGTTGTGACTGTTGACATGATGGGGCCTGTTTTCTGTACTGAGTAGCGTACCTACGTTATAACATATAAACAGACCTGTTGAATGATATATGTACCGATGTACCTATACCCATAAATAGAATCAGCTGAAACACAGACAAACAGATGACACACACTCCATTGACGTGACAATAAGGTCAACCTTTTACAATTTAAAAGATTTGTACTTGTCACAGGTTTTGAAAAAGAAAACTACAGATATTGACTAGAAATTATTTACAATTTGCTTTTATCCTGCAATTGGCACCACCATTGTTGGACTACACTGCTACATAGATTCTTGTTGTATTCAGCATTGATGTAGTTAAGCATGTGCGGTAATTTGACAGAATTATTTTCTGAATTTACTTTAACATTATATTTAATTATATAAATAACTGTTTGAATAAGTGATTTTATATGTTGTAATGAATAAGTTTGTTGATGAAAATTCATAAAATTGATATCATATCCATTGATGTTTAAAACTACATTTCTGCCACAGCAATTATTTTGGTGTAAGTCATCAGGCAAAATTCAGCATAATGTAAACGACAGGTAAACAAATATTGAACTATAAAACTGATGAATTTTTTATTGTCTGATTTTCAATTAATGTTGTAGGATAAATAGAATACATGGTCAGTGGTTTAGAATTTAAGAAATTTTTTTACTTGGGACTGAAAGACAAAAGTAGTTCACCAAAGGTTTGCCACTTTTGTCTTTCTTCACCCTCGCAGAAATATGGCTTATATTTTAAGACACTGACCATGAATTCTCTATGTATGAAATGGAAAACTCCTGGATATATTATATATAGTGATCACCTGTCTATACAGACTAGGGTATATTATAGATAGTGATCACCTGTCTATACAGACCTCAGGGTATATATAGTGATCCCCTGTCTATACAGACCTCAGGGTATATTATATATAGTGATGCCCAGTCTATAAAGACCTCAGGGTATATATAGTGATCCCCTGTCTATACAGACCTCAGGGTATATTATATATAGTGATCCCCTGTCTATACAGACTTCAGGGTATATATAGTGATCCCCTGTCTATACAGACCTCTGGGTATATATAGTGATCCCCTGTCTATACAGACGTCAGGGTATATTATATATAGTGATCACCTGTCTATACAGACATCAGGGTATATTATATATAGTGATCACCTGTCTATAAAAGTATATTATTTTGTTTCAGGACGTTCTTATGGATCTTATGATAAGCAGTAAACTTGTAGGTGGCAGTGTTCATCACTTTAATGTTACCTGTATTGTATGGCATATCATCATCCCCAACAAGTTGTATGGCAGTATGAAGTGTTATCCTTGTTCTCCATGTCCTAATGGTACCTACAGCAATGATGAAAAAAGAGACGTTTTTGTGATTTTAATGGATACAAATGCTTCATCCACAAGGATTGTGGAAGGCGTGGACATGTCATAAAAACTCCAGGCACTGATGTCACAGACACTGTCTGTGGGGAGTGTATTGATGGGTATGATAACTTCATTGATGATATCCTCATCTATACTAGTACATGGGAGGAACATTTGGAGGTGTTGCGGGAGTTTTTCAGACGTCTACGCAGGGCAGAACTTACTGCAAGACCAAGTAAATGTTCTATTGGTTTTGGCAGTCTACCTTGCTTGGGTCACATTGTTGGAGAAGGAAGACTGCGTCTTGAGGAGTCACAGATTTCTGCCATAGATAACGCACCGAGACCAACAACGAAAAAACAGGTTCATTCGTTCTTGGGACTGGCAGGTTTTTACAGGCGCTTCATCCCTAACTTTGCTGCTATTGCCGTTCCATTGACGGACTTGACAAAGAAAGGCAATCCTACCAAAGTCTTATGGGATATGAGTCACAAGAAGGCATATACAACCCTCAAAAGGTTGCTTACAGCGAAACCAGTTTTGAAGTTACCCAACCTCGAGCAAGAGTTTATTCTACGCACTGATGCGTCAGATACAGGTTTTGGAGCTGTTCTGCTTCAAGAGGAAAACAGTCAAACGATGCCAGTGGCTTATGCAAGCAGGAAGCTTTTACCCAGGGAGAAGAATTACGCAATTGTTGAGAAAGAATCCTTAGCAATAGTGTGGGCGGTGCAGAAATTTGAGCCCTACATCTACGGAAAGGAATTCGCACTTGAGACAGATCATCAGCCTCTCACTTATTTGCACCGGTCCAAGACTGCAAATGCCAGACTGATGCATTGGGCACTTCTTCTGCAGCCATACAGACTCAGAATACGAGCAATAAAGGGCCAAGACAACGTTGGAGCAGATTTCCTCAGCAGGATCTAGGAACATACATTGTTCGTGATTTGGGCAGAAAGTGGTAACCACTTTCTAAGAAAAAAAAGGGGGATGATGTCACGCACACCTGTATGTTTACCTGTGCATTGTTATTGAGTTGGTCACGTGAGCGGGTATGCGAGTGTGAGCGGAACAGTGGACATTGACTGTCCAGGTGACCAGCACGCCTTTGTTCTGTTTTCGTTACCTGTTTGCCGACTTTATGGCGTGAGTGACTTTGTTTAGTCGTGGAAATGAAGCCCAGACATCTGACTGGGGTAAGTATTCTTTCTTTCTTTCGTAATATACTGTTTTATGTGGTTGTTTATTGCCATATTTACGATGTCCTTCTTATAGGTCAAGCTATCTATTGTCGGTGCGTGTTCGTTCATGCGTAGCTTTCAGTGTTTACGATGCATGTTTATTTTCTAGGATTTAACGTTGAATTAGGCTGGATACATTTGAAAATTGTTATTGTACATCTAGAGTGGCTATTTTGTCAGTTATTTAGTCGTTGTAAAACCGTAAAGTACATGTAGAAATGTGGTTACGTTCGTGTTAAAAAAAAGTATGGAAGCCGTGAGTGGAAGTCGTGTGCGCATGAACCGGTGTGAGAGCATCACGGTATAAATTCTATGGAAGGCCGTTAGCGTCGTGTATGTTTCGCGTAACGATATGGTTGTTTTGTTGAATTTTGATATTGTGTATTTTATCACGCACCGTAGAATTGTAAAATGTAGTCGTGTATTCCCATTGTATTACACAAACAAACAATAGAGTATTGATTATAAATAATGTTAATTTACTGGTTAGTTGTAAGAAACTTTGTGAGTTATATGTAATTGTAGTCATGGGTGGAAGGATGAACGTTTAGTGGTCTTTTGTTTTTGTTTAAAGCTTCACATGATGGGTAAATCACCATAGAGCCTACAGAAGGTCAGCACCGCTGGAGCGCCAGGTCTTCGCCGTGCAGTAACGGGACCGACCAACGTTACATCTCAGTTACTCAGGGTCTAGGTCAACTGCAAAGAAGGATTGTCTCCAGGGACAGGCTGTCATGTAGCGACTCGGCTGTAATATGTAAGCTAGTCACCGCCTTATCAGTGAGGGAGTTTTCATGATACGGTTGCTTTGTCAGCAATTCGTCTTTGTGTTGGGAACTGCGCGAGTCGTTCCTTTACAACTCGGACTTTGTCAGTCCACGGAAGCTGTTTTGCGTGCACCCTCCGTGTGCACTATTCGACACATTGGAGATGTTGATTGTGAGACCACCTTGTACTTTGTCTGTGAAGAGACTGTAGCCATCTTTACTGTTAAAGTGTATGAATGGAGAGTGATTGTGAGTGTGACTGGGTGTCTGTAGTTTTCATGTTCTCGATGTTAATAAATTTGTGTATATGTTCATTTGTTGTATTCTTGTGTTGATTTCCTGATATACTGCACAGAGGCCCGTCCCACGTTACATGTCTATACAGACATCAGGGTATATTATATATAGTGATCACCTGTCTATACAGACCTCAGGGTATATTATATATAGTGATCACCTGTCTATACAGACCTCAGGGTATATTATATACTAATTAATGATATTATGTCATATTTTCATTGGTATCAGGTCTAGAAAAGTATTTTGTTTAGAGTTTTCTCCCCCTATGATAAGCAGTAAACTTGTAGGTGGCAGTGTTCATCACTTTAATGTTACCTGTATTGTATGGCAGTTGATCATCCCCAACAAGTTGTATGGCAGTATGCAGTGTTATCCTTGTTCTCCATGTCCTAATGGTACCTACAGCAATGATGAAAAAAGAGACTATTTTAATGGATACAAATGCTTCATCCACAAGGATTGTGGAAGGCGTGGACATGTCATAAAAACTCCAGGCACTGATGTCACAGACACTGTCTGTGGGGAGTGTATTGATGGGTATGTATTCTGCTTTATTTAACCACCACAACAAAGACTGGGGGGAGAGGTTATACTGGAGTCACCTTGTCTGTCTGGACAAGTGGATGGATGTAAATATCATATAGGGGTATTATCAGGATGCTAAATATCACTGTATGTGTTTCATTATCATAACAACCATGCTAAGGCAAATGGTGGCCTCTGATTGGTTGAAATTTCATCTAATTTTGACCAAATTTAGTGTATAGGGGTATTAAGGGATGTTAAACATCACTGTATATGTTTTATTGTGATGATAACTATGCTGAGACTAATTGTGACTGCTTATTGTTATAGAAATTTGGATATTGTCTAATTTTTACCAAATTTTGTATAAGAGGGATTAGGAAATGCCGAAATTCATTTCAGCTGGGTTTTTTTCATTTTTTTTCATGGAGTTTTGAACAAATTTGATTTATAGTCATCTTTGCATCTGCGGGAGGTATTAGTTATCCTTCAGGTGACAATTCTAGAAAGTGTCTGGTAGCTACCTGATACCTACATTCACATTGAGGAGAGTATATTCATTTGTAGCTACCACTGACTATATGGGTAGATATCATTGAAGGGAATGTATAAATGGGTAGATATCACTGTGGGGAATGTTTAAATGGCTAGATATCATTGTGGGGAATGTATGAATGGGTAGATATCATTGTGGGGAATGTATAAATGGGTAGATATCATTGTGGGGAATGTATAAATGGGTAGATATCATTGTGGGGAATGTATAAATGGGTAGATATCATTGTGGGGAATGTATAAATGGGTAGATATCATTGTAGGGAATGTATAAATGGCTAGATATCATTGTGGGGAATGTATAAATGGCTAGATATCATTGTGGGGAATGTATAAATGGGTAGATATCACTGTAGGGAATGTATAAAATGGTAGATATCACTGAGGGGAATATATAAATGGGTAGATGTCACTGAGGGGAATATAAAAATGGGGTAGATATCACTGTGGGGAATGTATAAATGGGTAGATATCACTGTGGGGAATGTATAAATGGGTAGATATCACTGTAGGGAATGTGTGGATATCATTGTAGGGAATGTATAAATGGGTAGATATCATTGTGGGGAATGTATAAATGGGTAGATATCATTGTGGGGAATGTATAAATGGGTAGATATCACGTTGGGGAATATTTAAATGGGTAGATATCATTGTGGGGAATGTATAAATGGGTAGATATCATTGTGGGGAATGTATAAATGGGTAGATATTATTGAAGGGAATGTATAAATGGCTAGATATCACTGTAGGGAATGTATAGATGGGTAGATATCACTGTAGGGAGTGTGTGGATATCATTGTGGGGAATGTATAAATGGGTAGATATCATTGTGGGGAATGTATAAATGGGTAGATATCACGTTGGGGAATATTTAAATGGGTAGATATCATTGTGGGGAATGTATAAATGGGTAGATATCATTGTGGGGAATGTATAAATGGGAAGATATCATTGTGGGGAATGTATAAATGGGTAGATATCATTGTGGGTAATGTATAAATGGCTAGATATCACTGTAGGGAATGTATAGATGGGTAGATATCACTGTAGAGAGTGTGTGGATATCATTGTGGGGAATGTATAAATGGGTAGATATCATTGTGGGGAATGTTTAAATGGGTAGATATCACTGTGGGGTGTGTGGGTTGGTATATATCTCCGGGGAGTCTGGATTGCTAGATGTACCAATGTTGAGGGTTTCTGTCTGGATAGGTAATTTTCAGGACAATTTAGATTGATAGAATTTATCAGTACATGGATCCTTCAAATAATATTTAAAAATGCATAATTCTACCTCTGATACTTGTTCAGTTTACTACTTAATCCTCTGTATAATGCTTTTAATATACAAACTAAATGATGCTGACAATTTTGTTTAAGGTACATCTCAGAAGACTGGCCAACAATGTACGGAAGTTCCTACTGCTATCCTTGTTCAGACAAAGACAAAGACAAGAAAGTTTGTCGTAATGTCATTATCACTCCAGACCTCAAGCCGACCTATCAACCGCCTGAAGGTTTGTCATCATGTTCAAACATACAGATGCTATTAAATGAAATACTATGCTGTTGTATGTTTTAGAAGTCATTTGCACATATCCTTACAAGGCCAAAAAGTGATCACAAATGTAAGGGGGCATAAACTGTCTCTTAATTATCAATACAACCTTCATTTTAAAATAAACTCACATTCTTATCTGTATGTTGTAGAGTTGGGAACAGATGAAACAGTCACTATTATAATTGCAACTACTCTTGGGGTCATTGTGCTGATCATCCTAGGCATTATCGCTGCCTGCTGGTACAGGGAAAATAAAAATAAACAACATGAGAATCCTGATGCTCAAAAAGGACTTCGTAAGTGTCTATTTTTCTTAAAAACCCATATGATTTAAAATGACTGTTTTTAGTAACAGTTTAACATTATGATAGGGGCTATTGTGACAAGTGGATGAGTGTTTAATGGTGTCTTCAGTCTTACTAGATAACTATCTTACAGTGACTGAAGTCTTACTAGATAACTATCTTACAGTGACTGGAGACTTACTAGATAACTGTCTTACAGTGACTGGAGACTTACTAGATAACTGTCTTACAGTGGCTGGAGTCTTACTAGATAACTGTCTTACAGTGGCTGGAGTCTTACTAGATAACTATCTTACAGTGACTGGAGACTTACTAGATAACTGTCTTACAGTGACTGGAGACTTACTAGATAACTGTCTTACAGTGACTGGAGACTTACTAGATAACTGTCTTACAGTGGCTGGAGACTTACTAGATAACTGTCTTACAGTGACTGGAGACTTACTAGATAACTGTCTTACAGTGACTGGAGACTTACTAGATAACTTTCTTACAGTGGCTGGAGTCTTACTAGATAACTGTCTTACAGTGGCTGGAGACTTACTAGATAACTGTCTTACAGTGGCTGGAGACTTACTAGATAACTGTCTTACAGTGACTGGAGACTTACTAGATAACTGTCTTACAGTGACTGGAGACTTACTAGATAACTGTCTTACAGTGACTGGAGACTTACTAGATAACTGTCTTACAGTGACTGGAGACTTACTAGATAACTATCTTACAGTGACTTAAGTCTTACTAGATAACTGTCTTACAGTGACTGGAGACTTACTAGATAACTGTCTTACAGTGACTGGAGACTTACTAGATAACTGTCTTACAGTGACTGGAGACTTTCTAGATAACTGTCTTACAGTGACTGGAGACTTACTAGATAACTGTCTTACAGTGACTTACTAGATAACTGTCTTACAGTGACTGGATAAGACAGTTACTAGATAACTGTCTTACAGTGACTGGAGACTTACTAGATAACTGTCTTACAGTGACTGGAGACTTACTAGATAACTGTCTTACAGTGACTGGAGACTTACTAGATAACTGTCTTACAGTGACTGGAGACTTACTAGATAACTGTCTTACAGTGACTGGAGACTTACTAGATAACTGTCTTACAGTGACTGGAGACTTACTATATAACTGTCTTACAGTGACTGCAGACTGGAGACTTACTAGATAACTGTCTTACAGATAACTGTGAGACTTACTAGGAGACTTACTAGATAACTGTCTTACAGTGGCTGGAGACTTACTGGATAACTGTCTTACAGTGACTGGAGACTTACTAGATAACTGTCTTACAGTGACTGCAGACTTTCTAGATAACTGTCTTACAGTGACTGGAGACTTACTAGATAACTATCTTACAGTGACTGGAGACTTACTAGATATCTGTCTTACAGTGACTGGAGACTTACTAGATAACTGTCTTACAGTGGCTGGAGAGATAACTGTCTTACTAGATAACTGTCTTACAGTGACTGAGACTTACTAGATAACTGTCTTACTAGATAACTATCTTACAGTGACTGGAGACTTACTAGATATCTGTCTTACAGTGACTGGAGACTTACTAGATAACTGTCTTACAGTGGCTGGAGACTTACTAGATATCTGTCTTACAGTGACTGGAGTCTTACTAGATAACTGTCTTACAGTGACTGGAGACTTACTAGATAACTGTCTTACAGTGGCTGGAGACTTACTAGATAACTGTCTTACAGTGACTGGAGACTTACTAGATAACTGTCTTACAGTGACTGAAGTCTTACTAGATAACTATCTTACAGTGACTGAAGTTTTACTAGATAACTGTCTTACAGTGACTGGAGACTTACTAGATAACTGTCTTACAGTGACTGGAGACTTACTAGATAACTATCTTACAGTGACTTAAGTCTTACTAGATAACTGTCTTACAGTGACTGTCTGGAGAGACTTACTTAACTGTCTTACAGATAACTGTCTTACAGTGACTGGAGACTTACTAGATAACTGTCTTACAGTGACTGAAGTCTTACTAGATAACTATCTTACAGTGACTGAAGTTTTACTAGATAACTGTCTTACAGTGACTGAAGTCTTACTAGATAACTATCTTACAGTGACTTAAGTCTTACTAGATAACTGTCTTACAGTGACTGAAGTCTTACTAGATAACTATCTTTAATGTAGTATGGTGGTTAACTGGTCTTACAGTGACTAGATAACTGTCTTACAGTGACAGATGAGTTATTTACTAGATAACTGTCTTACAGTGACTGACATACAGATAACTGTCTTACAGACTCAGCTTACTAGATAACTGTCTTACAGTGATAACAACAGGTAACTATACTGATAACTGTCTTTACTGGAGTCTTACTAGATAACTGTCTTACAGTATCCTTATGTTATACAAAAGACCAGCAACAACCGTTCTTACAGTACAAATGTTGAGTATTAACACAAGTTACAACAATGATAACATGTATGGCCTGAGTATCGAGATAACAAGTTACTCCTTCCACGGCCACACCAGGACTGACTCTATTTGCTGTGATCTTACAGTTTATCCTAAAGTAATTATAATCTAATTCTGATAGGATAACTGTCTTACAGTTCTTTACTGATCTACAATTAAACCGTGAACAGTTAATGTCTCCATGGTGGAGAGCATGTCCAGCCAATGTTTCACGGCATGATTCTGACACTAAGGTGACCGCAATTAAACTATCTGTCTGATAAGCCAGCCAGTCACATTAAGATTTAACACAAATTATGTTCTACACTTGAGTGACAAATTTCACTATTAACATATACCTTAAGTAAATCCTTATCTAAACAACACACATCTGTAATGAACATGTGACAAAGGTCAGTACATCATTTTTGTCAGTATATATACATAGACAGTGGACATGTGACAAAGGTCAGTACATCATTTTTGTCAGTGTATATACATAGACAGTGGACATGTGACAAAGGTCAGTACATCATTTTTGTCAGTGTATATACATAGACAGTGGACATGTGACAAAGGTCAGTACATCATTTTTGTCAGTGTATATACATAGACAGTGGACATGTGACAAAGGTCAGTACATCATTTTTGTCAGTGTATATACATAGACAGTGGACATGTGACAAAGGTCAGTACATCATTTTTGTCAGTGTATATACATAGACAGTGGACATGTGACAAAGGTCAGTACATCATTTTTGTCAGTGTATATACATAGACAGTGGACATGTGACAAAGGTCAGTACATCATTGCTGTCAGTGTATATACATAGACAGTGGACATGTGACAAAGGTCAGTACATCATTGCTGTCAGTGTATATACATAGACAGTGGACATGTGACAAAGGTCAGTACATCATTGCTGTCAGTGTATATACATAGACAGTGGACATGTGACAAAGGTCAGTACATCATTTTTGTCAGTGTATATACATAGATAGTGGACATGTGACAAAGGTCAGTACATCATTGCTGTCAGTGTATATACATAGACAGTGGACATGTGACAAAGGTCAGTACATCATTTTTGTCAGTGTATATACATAGACAGTGGACATGTGACAAAGGTCAGTACATCATTTTTGTCAGTGTATATACATAGATAGTGGACATGTGACAAAGGTCAGTACATCATTGCTGTCAGTGTATATACATAGACAGTGGACATGTGACAAAGGTCAGTACATCATTTTTGTCAGTGTATATACATAGACAGTGGACATGTGACAAAGGTCAGTACATCATTTTTGTCAGTGTATATACATAGACAGTGGACATGTGACAAAGGTCAGTACATCATTTTTGTCAGTGTATATACATAGATAGTGGACATGTGACAAAGGTCAGTACATCATTTTTGTCAGTGTATATACATAGACAGTGGACATGTGACAAAGGTCAGTACATCATTTTTGTAAGTTCCCTTTGGTCTCTTGTCCTATTGATTTTGTGCAGCCATTTTGGATTGAGACAAAGAAAATTGTTATCACTATTTGATGAAAAGTACAAGATGGATCTGTCACATTTCATATGTAGGTTGGCCTTGGTCCCTTGTGTCCGTTTGATTTTGGGCTGAGAGGTGACATTGATGTTAGATTTGGTATTGAAATGTCATTGTCACTCTTTCTGCAAAGGAATGTTCAATTTTTAAGAGCAAAACTAGGGGAGAGAAGAGAAAAGAAGGGAAAAGATCCAACTGTTAAAGAACAAATGGATATCAAACAATGGTGGGCGTTAAGATCTCTCAGGAATCTCTTGCTTGTGATATCATTATGTAGTCTAAGTTTATTAACCGATACAGGATCTTATAAGATCCTCTTCAACAGACTCAAAAACATGACATAAAAAAATGAAAGTGAATATGACGTTACTTGTTAATGTATCGGAGATCTATAATTATAGAGGAGTTCCTGATTTTTATTTAATAGTTAATAAGTTAATAAACCTATCAAAGTATCTTTATATGTGGGTTAATACATGTTCTGGATTTCATTCTAAAAGTATTGAACACTGTTCACCTGATGAAGAGATTAATTCACTTTTATAAGTAGGAATGGTTGACAGTAATGTTGACAGCTAGACAGATGTATGTTAATGTTGACAACTAGACAACTGTATGTTATTGATGATTTCTGTTACTTTCTATTTCCAGATACTTCACTAGGCTTAGACTGCCTAACAAAAGAAGGTAAGACACACCATTATACACATGTCAATTTATACACATGTCAATTTATACACATGTCAATTTATACACAAGTCAATTTATACACAAGTCAATTTATACACATGTCAATTTATACACATGTCAATTTATAGTCAATTTATACACACAATTTATGTCAATTTATACACATGTCAATTTATACACAAGTCAATTTATACAATTTATACACATATACAATTATATACACAAGTCAATTTATAAGTCAATTTATACACAAGTCAATTTATACAATTTATATGTGTCAATTTATCAATTTATACACAAGTCAATTTATACACATGTCAATTTATACACAAGTCAATTTATCAATTTATACACATGTCACAATTTATACACAAGATACTTCACAAAAGAAGGTCAATTTATACACATGTCAATTTATACACAAGTCAATTTATACAGTCATTTATACACAAGTCAATTTATACACAATTTATACAATTTATAGTCAATTTATACACAAGTCAATTTATACACAAGTCAATTTATATCAATTTATACACAAGTCAATTTATACACAATTTGTCAATTTATACACATGTCAATTTATACAATTTAAACACATGTCAATTTATACACATGTCAATTTATACACAAGTCAATTTATACACAAGTCAATTTATACACAAGTCAATTTATACAATTTATACACAAGTCAATTTATACAATTTATACACAAGTCAATTTATACACAAGTCAATTTATACACATGTCAATTTATACACATGTCAATTTATACACAAGTCAATTTATACACATGTCAATTTATACACATGTCAATTTATACACATGTCAATTTATACACAAGTCAATTTATACACATGTCAATTTATACACAAGTCAATTTATACACATGTCAATTTATACACATGTCAATTTATACAATTTATACACAAGTCAATTTATACACATGTCAATTTATACACATGTCAATTTATACACATGTCAATTTATACACGTCATTTTATACAATTTATACACATGTCAATTTATACAATTTATACACATGTCAATTTATACACAAGTCAATTTATACACATGTCAATTTATACAATTTATACACATGTCAATTTATACACACGTCAATTTATACACATGTCAATTTATACACAAGTCAATTTATACACATGTCAATTTATACACAAGTCAATTGATACACATGTCAATTTATACACATGTCAATTTATACAATTTATACACATGTCAATTGATACACAAGTCAATTTATACACATGTCAATTTATACACAAGTCAATTTATACACATGTCAATTTATACACATGTCAATTTATACAATTTATACACATGTCAATTTATACACAAGTCAATTTATACACATGTCAATCAATTTATACACATGTCAATTTATACACATGTCAATTTATACAATTTAAACACATGTCAATTTATACAATTTATACACAAGTCAATTTATACACATGTCAATTTATACACATGTCAATTTATACACATGTCAATTTATACAATTTATACACATGTCAATTTATACACATGTCAATTTATACAATTTATACACAAGTCAATTTATACACATGTCAATTTATACACATGTCAATTTATACAATTTATACACATGTCAATTTTATACACAAGTCAATTTATACACATGTCAATTTATACACAAGTCAATTTATACACATGTCAATTTATACACATGTCAATTCAACAATATGGTCTTGAATGGTATTTATTGTTTATTCACCATCAAAGGGATCAAAGACTTGACTGTCATGAAACTTTACATTAAATACCAATCTCAGGGTGTATGTTGGTCGTAATGTTAATCTCAGGGTATGCGTTGGTCTTAATATTAATCTCAGAGTGGACGTTGGTTGTAATATTAATCTCAGGGTGTACGTTGGTCTTAATATTAATCTCAGAGTATACGTTGGTCTTAATATTAATCTCAGGGTGTATGTTGGTCTTAATATTAATCTTAGTGTGTACTTTGGTCTTAATATTAATCAAAGGTCAAAGTTTACCCATGACCACTTTTGAAATAAAAATCTTGTCCACAAGATGTCTCATGAACTTTTTAACAGTTTTAATTCATATTAACACCATATCATCACACATCAAGTTGCTACATCAGATTTTAGTGGTCACTTATATACCCAGGTAAGATATCTAATGAACCTTGATCTTAATATACTAACACATCAATAGAGCCCTGCTCTCTTTGTGTTTTTTTAGCTCCCCTCTCAAAGAGAGGGGCAGCTTATGTTGTTATCCCCAGCATCAGTATCATTGTTGGCTATATAATGTAAAGGTTTTTGTGCAAGTGATGAAAAGCATCAATATTCCTCTTTATAATTGTACCAGGGTACTGGATGACATCAGTAAATCCCTCTATAATTGTATCAGGGTACTGGATGACATAAGTAAATCCCTTTATAATTGTAACTGTATGGGACATGTTTTGTGGGTACCTGTATGGGACATGTGATGTGGGTACCTATATGGGACATGTATTGTGGGTACCTGTATGAGACGTGTTGTGGGTACCTGTATGGGACATGTATTGTGGGTACCTGTATGGGACATGTTTTGTGGGTACTTGTATGGGACATGTATTGTGGGTACCTATATGGGACATGTTTTGTGGGTACCTGTATGGGACAAGTGTTGTGGGTACCTGTATGGGACATGTGTTGTGGGTACCTGTATGGGACATGTGTTGTGGGTACCTGTATGGGACATGTGTTGTGGGTACCTGTATGGGACATGTGTTATGGGTACCTGTATGGGGCATGTGTTGTGGGTACCTGTATGGGACATGTGTTGTGGGTACCTGTATGGGACATGTGTTGTGGGTACCTGTATGGGACATGTATTGTGGGTACCTGTATGGGACATGTATTGTGGGTACCTGTATATAACATGTATTGTGGGTACCTGTATGGGACATGTATTGTGGGTACCTGTATGGGACATGTATTGTGGGTACCTTTATGGGACATGTATTGTGGGTAACTTTATGGGACATGTATTGTGGGTACCTGTATGGGACATGTATTGTGGGTACCTTTATGGGACATGTATTGTGGGTACCTGTATGGGACATGTGTTGTGGGTACCTGTATGGGACATGTGTTGTGGGTACCTGTATATAACATGTATTGTGGGTACCTGTATGGGACATGTATTGTGGGTACCTTTATGGGACATGTATTGTGGGTAACTTTATGGGACATGTATTGTGGGTACCTGTATGGGACATGTATTGTGGGTACCTTTATGGGACATGTATTGTGGGTACCTGTATGGGACATGTGTTGTGGGTACCTGTATGGGACATGTGTTGTGGGTACCTGTATATAACATGTATTGTGGGTACCTGTATGGGACATGTATTGTGGGTACCTTTATGGGACATGTATTGTGGGTACCTGTATGGGACATGTATTGTGGGTACCTGTATGGGACATGTGTTGTGGGTACCTGTATATAACATGTATTGTGGGTACCTGTATGGGACATGTATTGTGGGTACCTTTATGGGACATGTATTGTGGGTACCTGTATGGGACATGTATTGTGGGTACCTTTATGGGACATGTATTGTGGGTACCTGTATATAACATGTGTTGCTTTTGTAGTACTTCATATTCTGGTTTTATATGAAATTTTCATTGTTTTATTTGGAACATTTTTTTAATTTTCCAGAGGAACAGAAAGCCTTGTCTATACGTCTGCAGAATGACGATTGTTATGTCCAATGTATTGGAGATACAGACAGATATCCTAACCAGAAGAGCTTAAGAAGTTTGGCATTCTCTCTGGGTCTACAACAAACACAGATTGATGAGATGGAGGAGAATGGTGAACACCTCATCTTCTACCTCAATAAGTTTATACAATGCAAAGGAAAAAATGCCACTCTGCTGGTCCTCTGTAAGGCTCTTAGAAAGCATGATGGGTTTAAAACAGGATTGGACAATGTAGTTAACAAATTCAGGAGGAATATCTCCCAGGATGTAGACTCTTCTTGTACTAAAACAGAGGGGACAGCAGCAGAGCTCAATAAAGATCAAGATCGTGACATTCCAACTGACACTACAGGAAATAGGGCAGATGGATGCTAAGATCTGATCATTTGGAAGGATGTGATAGCCCAAGGGCAGGGTTCTTACACCATACACCTGTCAGAAACAATTGAGACGATTTATCGTAGTTATGGTATTGCATCAGCCATGAAACCACATATGACTATTTGAAATGTCCTAGTCCATCCTAAAGACAAGACACCCAAAGAGAATAATGCACAACACATATACAAAGTTGGATGCATTTTATTGATTTGGCTGACACAAAGAAAATGTTCTGAAGTATTTTATGATCATATCAAAGCACTTTGCATTTGTCTCTTGAACAAAATATGTTATATATCATACACCTTGTTTTGTACTCTCGGTGGTTTGGGAGTTAGTGAAGATAGTTTGTTCAAAGCTTGAATAGTGCAATAAATGGTAGTCTGTTGCTCCCATTGAAAACTAGGAATACATTGTACTACATTTAGTTGCTACCACGCTGCCATGGAAACCAGGAAATGGAGCATATTTTGTTTCTACCATACTGCCATGGAAACCAGGAAATGGAGCATATTTTGTTGCTACCATACTGCCATGGAAACCAGGAAATGGAGCATATTTTGTTTCTACCATACTGCCATGGAAACCAGGAAATGGAGCGTATTTTGTTGCTACCATACTGCCATGGAAACCAGGAAATGGAGCGTATTTTGTTGCTACCATACTGCCATGGAAACCAGGAAATGGAGCATATTTTGTTGCTACCATACTGCCATGGAAACCAGGAAATGTGAAGATGGAAGTTTTATTTACATATTAATTGACAATGTCTTTGATATAATTCTGTGCAGCTATATGTAGTACTTACTGCTGGTTGACATATCAGATCAGTCCTGAACTGTGCTCGAGATATGTAGGTGACACCACCTAAAGTTGATCACCAGGAGGTAAATCTACAGAAACCCAAAGTATAGGTACAGATGGGGACTTAACAGTACTGATCAAACCTCAAACCTGTATTAGATATTACATGAAATCCAATGCAATGATAATATATAAACATTTGTGAATGTCAGTGTGTGGCATATTGGTTGGAGTGTATGAACATTTGTGTGTGGCATATTGGTTGGAGTGTATGAACATTTGCATGTGACATATTGGTTGGAGTGTATGAACATTTGCATGTGACATATTGGTTGGAGTGTATGAACATTTGCATGTGACATATTGGTTGGAGTGTATGAACATTTGCATGTGACATATTGGTTGGAGTGTATGAACATTTGTGTGTGACATATTGGTTGGAGTGTATGAACATTTGCATGTGACATATTGGTTGGAGTGTATGAACATTTGCATGTGACATATTGGTTGGAGTGTATGGACATTTGTGTGTGACATATTGGTTGGAGTGTATGAACATTTGCATGTGACATATTGGTTGGAGTGTATGAACATTTGCATGTGACATATTGGTTGGAGTGTATGAACATTTGCATGTGACATATTGGTTGGAGTGTATGAACATTTGTGTGTGACATATTGGTTGGAGTGTATGAACATTTGCATGTGACATATTGGTTGGAGTGTATGGACATTTGCATGTGACATATTGGTTGGAGTGTATGAATATTTGCATGTGACATATTGGTTGGAGTGTATGGACATTTGTGTGTGGCATATTGGTTGGAGTGTATGGACATTTGTGTGTGGCATATTGGTTGGAGTGTATGAACATTTGCATGTGACATATTTGTTTGAATGTATTTATTTTTTTATGAGACATTTTTTAATGTATTTTATACTTCTATATAGCTCAGATTGATATGCTAAGAATTGAAATTCAAAATAAAATGATGTAACTACATGTGTTATTAAATGGTATGCGACAGGGTATTTAAAAGGATGTCATACGAAAAGCAGATCAGAAATTGAATGAATATGTTTTACACATCACTAATTATATCTAGATGCTATCTCTAGACTCATACGTGTAATTTGAATGTAAATTTCTAAAGAACATTGCACAAAGTTCTTTACAGCTCAAACCTAATTCAGCATAGACATTTGTCATTTCACCGTCATTATTTCTCCCTTCTTTACCACACATGGTTCCTTGTGAACTTTACAGAAGAGAATGTACATATGCTCAACAACATGGCATTTTAATGATTTTAAAAATCAATTCAATACCTAACAAATTCAGGCTTTATAACAAGTTTTACCCTGAAAGGACAAAGTTAATTGGTCAACTTCATTCAAGACATGACACCAAAATATCAAGATTACATTGTACAGTCCTTTGGTTAAGAAGTCTTGTTACTTGTTCTTTCAAACCTCGAAACTTCACCATTTGTGCATAGTGTTGATTTTTGGCTTTGATGTATATCACCCCAATGACTTGTTGAACAATAGTGGACATAGGATGTGCTACTATTCTGGGTAAAGATGAAGACGAACACATCATGGAAACAGTTTTTAACTCTGTTCAACATGTCAATTTCCATTATTTCGAAAATATTTCATTCGATAGTAAAAATTACCAGAAATAACTATTGTACCTTAGTTCCTTGAACATCTTACAAGATGAAATATTCTGGAGCACAACACTGTGTTCTCCTAAGCATTTCTTGGCCTGAGGATGACTGTTATACCTAACGGTACATATGTCTTTGTTCCTAAGAGTTCTGATCACAAACTCTAGAGAATTTCCTATTGTGGCCAGAAGAAGCGGAACTATTTGAAGTTCATGAGCATAGCCCTGTCTGATGGTTTCATTCTGGACATAGTGGGACTTTTTCCTAGAAGTGATAATGATGCAAAGATTACAGAAGCCATCATGGATAGTCTCTCCTGGCTGGAGAAAGATGACAACATTGCTGTTGACCGAGGTTTTAGGGATGTTTTGCCAGATTTGGAATGGTTTGACAACAAATATGCTGTCTTATCTAAACCCTGAGCAGACACAACATGACAACCTACAAGCTAAACTTGATAGATCCATATATAAACCCAGATGGCAAGTAGAGTCATATCATTGATGATTTAGGCACTGGCTGTTTTACAAAACACAACTTACCTCCGACTATTGATGTCATCGAGGCACTCGATATAATAATAACAGTGTTTCATGATCAGGAGCCGGCCATAAAGTCATTCCAAAAACACCATGTGCTTTTCAAGATGGAGGTTTATTAAGAACATTACAATATATACTACATTACACGAGTAGAACCAAGGTACATAGCCTGAACCTAGTAGCGTACTTCGCCTAGGTAACTCAACTTACATCAGACAAACCTAGCATACTAATGCTTATAATTAAGCACATTAAATTTACTGATATTATCTTACAATAACATCTCCCCCTTTTGAAGTTAAAGAAAATAACTTGCACAATATAGATATGATTACCAGCAAAATTATTTCCACTGAATTTTGTCCAATTATTGTCTCCTTTCAAAAGTCTTTATATAACTTTGCCTAATAAAAGAACAAATTCTATGCATGTAATAAATTGTCCACAAGAAATGTCTCTGAAACTGCTTTTTACCAAATAGCTTCTTAATACTGAACTTATGATACCAAATCACTGAATTATATCATTAAACATTTTTCACGAACAAAACTATGACTTTGTTATGATAACAAACAAATAAACAAAATTATTAACTTGGGAAATGAGGTAGACTGCCTCAGAACCCACAGGAGTGTAGGGATTATTCTGCCCTATTACACACAACTCCTGTACTATGCTAAGATGGAATAGCAATAGTTCATGTGACCTCATAGTCTTTCAGCCTCGTAGGAAGTTTGGTCAACCTCTTTGGACGGGTGTATGTGTTGTCCGAAACATCAGTAGGTGACATTGACTTGTCTACAATTGGAGCTGGTGGTGTTGACGTTGACGACTTCACATGTGGTGTTGAGACTGCTGACGGAACAGTTTTCCTCGGTGTGACGTTAAGATCACCTGACAACAATTTATCGTACGTCGGAGTAATTCTGACGTCATCTGGGGCAATTAACTGTAAATGTCTACGATTTCGTTGGTATACCCCCTTTGGCGTTCTGACACGGTATGACCTAATTTCAGGATTCGCCTCTTCTACGACTCCCTTCGCGGACCAGATTTTTTCGCCATCTAGTTTGACCTTGACCTCATCACCAATGTCCAGATCGGGTAAATCTCGTACACCATGTCGACGGTTGTAATGATAGGCATAACAGCGTTTATATTCTGTATCCCGTTTCCTTACATTCTTTGCATTCGGCCATTTTGGAACTAATTTCTTCTCGACGACTGGCACTGTAGTACGAATTTGTCTACCCATAATCAACTGGCTCGGGCTCGAACCAGTCGCGACGATAGGTGTTGCTCGATATGCCATAAGTGCAATGAACACATCATCTTGGTCTAGAATACGCTTAGCTCTTTTTACACCACTCTCTGCCTCACCATTTCCCTGAGGATAATGTGGACTCGAAAAAGTTTGTCGGAATCCATATTCCTTCGCGAACTCTGCGAACTCACGTGATGCAAATTGCGTACCGTTGTCCGATACAAACTCTTACGGGACACCCCAATGTGCGAAGATATTTTTCAATCGCAGAATTACTTGACTACTCGTAATGTTCTGTAGATATGCGATTTCAATGTATCGGGAATAATAGTCAGTTACGATGAGGTAGTTTTTCCCCTTGTGATCAAACAAATCGGCAGACACTTTTTGCCACGGTCTTAACGGTAGTTCCGTTACTTTCAATGGTTCTTTCCTTTGGGTAGGTTTGTGGTCTTGACAGAATTGACAAGAGTCTACTTTTGCCAGAATGTACTTGGTAAGGCCAGGCCACCATACAGTTGTTCTAGCGCGTTCACGACATTTCTCAATGCCCATGTGACCTTCGTGGAGATTTTCCATAATCTCTGTACGTAGTTCTTCTGGAACAACAACTTGATCACGGTATAAAAGCAAACCATTAGACACTGAAAGTTCTCCTCGTGATGCAAAGTATTCTCGTGCTGGTACATCCACACAAGTTTCTTTTTCTGGCCAACCATACTTTGTATATACGAGTGCTTTTTGGACACCTGCATCATTGAACTGTGCGTCCCGTATACGCTCCAATTTCACATCCGATATTGATCGCAACTGTTCAATCAAATTTACGAAAATTTCAATAGCAGTCTCTCTGCTGTCATTTTGTGTTTTCATAGGGCTTCGCGAAAGCGTATCAGGAACCACAAGCAATTTACCTGCTCAGCAACAGGATTAAATCTGCGTAGACGCATCAAGAGACGTTGGCATCTCAGTGGAGTTTTGTCGAGATCTTGCGTGTTAATCAGGGGTACTAACGGTTTGATCCGTTAGCAATCGAAAGTTCTGCAAACCGACGAGATAACGTTCAAATTTTCCGCATGCCCAAACCGAAGCGAGACACTCCTTCTCAATCTGTGCGTATTTTGTCTCGGCCTGAGTGAGTGTACGCGAACAAAACATAATCGGCTTGAGTTCACCACCGTCGTCCTTCTGAAACAATGCAGCCCCCAATCTATAGCTACTGGCGTCGGCGCTCACAACAGTTTCCCGTTTCGCATCGTAAAAGTTCAGTGTAGGAGTTTCTGTTAGTTTTCTTTTAACCTCATTAAATGCTTGTTCCTGCATCGGAGTCCATGCCCAAACTTGGTCTGATTTGAGCAAATCTGTCATCGGTTTCATTGATGTTGACAGATCTGGTAGAAACCGTCCAAGATAATTAACCATGCCAATGACTCTGCGAAGTTCTGTGACGTCCTTAGGAGCCTCCATATTTCGAATAGCTTCCACACGTTTCGTATTTGATGCAATTCCCTCGGAATTTATCATGTGACCGAAGTACTCTATGTTCAACTTCCTGAACTCACACTTGTCTTCATTTAACTTGAGACCTGAAGCTTTAATTCTGTCGATCACCTTTTCAAGGCGACCGTCATGTTCTTTGACCGTTTTACCATATATTAATGTATCGTCTATAATCGCTTCTACGCCTTCCAAACCCGCAAGAAGTTCTGTCATCTTTCTCTGAAAGATCTCTGGGGCTGAAGTAATGCCAAAAGGCACACGTCGAAAACAGAAGCGTCCAAATAGCGTTATAAATGTGGTCAGTTTCGAACTGTCGGGATGTAACGGTATTTGATAGAAACCGCTACTAGCAGCAAGTTTTGAGAAAACTTTGGCACCTGTAAGCTTTGGAGCTATATCATCAAGAGTAGGCAGCATTAGTATTTCACGTTTGACTCCCTCATTCAATTTTTTCAAATCTACACAAATTCTGACATTACCGTTCTTTTTCACTACTGGTACCATGGGTGCACACCAATCGGTTGGTTCTGTCACCTTTTCAATAATTCCTTCTGTTTCCATACGCTGGAGTTCCTTCGATACTTTGTCGAGTAATGGAAATGGAACACGCCTTGCTGTAGTAACACAATACGGGTTAACATTGTCTCTCAGCCGAATAGTGGCTGATTCACAATTTACTAGACCAGAGGATCCAAATACTGACCGGCTAACCTCCTCGATTCTGATGACTAGTCCCATTTTCATTGCCGCATCACGACTCAGTAGATTATTTTGCTGATCTTTCACAACGTGGAACTCAAGTGTATAGTCTACACATTTATAGCGTACAACATGTGTAAAACGACCTACACATCCTAATGTGCCACCTGGACTCTGAAGCACAGTATCAACTTTCCGAAGTACTGGCCTTTCTTTAAAACGATTAAATGTTCTCTCTGAAATAATCGAGATGTCTGCACCTGTGTCTATTTTGAAAGTGACTGATGCCCCACAGACAGGTAAAATTACTTTCCAGGCCTCCGATGAGCCGGTACTCACTGCACCTAGAAAGAATTCGTCCGAATGTTCTTGTACAACTTCATGAACATGTTTGGCTTTACAACAAACAGCAAAATGATTCAACGACTTGCATTTATTGCACCGTTTACCATAAGCAGGACATGACCCTTTTGCATGTGACCGGTTACAGAATGTACACCTTTGTCCTCCCTGCGCATGACCGTCATGCTTTTGTTTACCAAAACTCCATATTGTTGACGTTTTTGTTGAGTAGGACGTTTCGTCCCCGACTTTTTACCTTTACTCACTGCATCGACTGATACCGACGATTGATCTTTGATCTGTGACTTGACTTGTTCCGACTGTTTAGCAATTTGTAGTGCTGTCTCTACAGTTAAATCGGCTTTAAGCTGTAATTTCTCGGAAATTGACTTGTCCGTGATACCGATTACTAGTCTGTCCCTGATGTTATTGTCTTTCTGTGTACCAAAATCACAGTGTTCAGCCATTTCAAATAACGACCTCACAAATGCTTCAATCGATTCTGTAGGACCCTGGGACCTCATGTGAAATTTAGCCCTCTCGTGTATCACATTTCTCTTTGGTACGAAATAAGCATCAAGTTTTTCCACAACTTTGTCATATTTATCTCCATCCCCCTCATTATCAAATACGAGTGACTTGAAAACGTTCTCACCTTGTCTCCCCATACTGTAAATAAGGGCACTTATCTGTACAGGATCTTCCTCCTTGTTCAACTTCGTAGCTGTCCTGTAACGTTTAAAGTGTTGTAGCCAATCAGGCCATTCATTTGGAGATGTGAAATCAAATGGTTCCGGAGCGTGAAATTTCGCCATTGTGATTGTCGAATCCGTTTCAGGGTGTTCTAACAATATTTCGTATGCGCTGTGAATTTCTCCCGGTTCACGATAAACTTACTCCACATCGGCACATGTATCCCACTTCTGACACCATGTTTCATGATCAGGAGCCGGCCATAAAATCATTCCAAAAACACCATGTGCTTTTCAAGATGGAGATTTATTCAGAACATTACAATATATACTACATTACACAAATAGAACCAAGGTACATAGCCTGAACCTAGTAGCGTACTTCGCCTAGGTAACTCAACTTACATCAGACAAACCTAGCATACTAATGCTTATAATTAAGCACATTAAATTTACTGATATTATCTTACAATAACAAACAACCTGTCTCAATGGAATCCGAGGACTTATATATGTTAAAACACAAGAGCGAGACACAAAGAACAGGGCGCTGGTTGCCAAAATGAAAGTGTGCCTTAGTGATGACAACAACCAAGATCAGCACGTGAAAAAGGAGTCGGATCTTACCAGAAAGGCCAAGTCACTATTTGTCATACTAGATGCTACTGCAGATAATTGTGACCTTCCAATGTTAGACATGGAATACCTTCAGACAATATCCTGTGGCACTACAAAATATCATTGACAACTGGCGACATAAGGGAGCATCTCGGTGATGATGGTGACTACAAGATCTGGATCTATCGGCACTCACGAGACATTGTACGATGTCGGATCTACTCGAGGCATAAGATCAGTGTAAAGTACAATATTTGGATCCAGCATGACAGCTCCGTCACAATTATTCCAATAAAGGATTATTATTGCCAGTGACCCACTGGACAGACAACCATTGGGGTATGTGCCCACATAGCCAATATCCTGTACTATTAAGGATACTACATGCATTTGGAAACTAAGGGTTTAAGACAAAACTCAATGTAGATTTCGCTACCAACTGTCATCTTCAAGGCATTAGGTATTGTTGACACGGACTATTAGATTACATTCCTGTACAATGTCGACCAACACTGACATGGCCAATCAGATTCTAGGGCGACAAAGCCTCAATGGATTCCAGACTAGGCGGTGTAATGTGTAACCCAACTCATCATTTAGCTTTCTTATTAGAATATTGATTTAGCAGTCGTAAGAGCATTTAATTTTTGTAGTTATCAGGGAACAGGACGGGCATTTTGAAAGTTGAAATTTTATTTTAGTGAGTTATAAGTGGAGGTGACAGTCCCTTTATAGTAATTATACTAATAAAACCAAGTGTAAACATTTTATTTCAGCTCACTTTACAATACTTCAGTCCAAAATATTACTATTTTGGGGCAATTTATTTTATGCTGTTTGAAGATGTTTCATCACATAATTACGAATGGACTGTGATAAGTTGTATTTTTTACCTTCAGAAAAGTTTGCTTCATGTAAAAAGAGCATGTTCTTTCTCAAAATCCATTACATTTTTATCTCCTGTTCCCAATTTATTCAAAATTGTGACTTCCTGTCTTCTTTCTTTCATTTTTGGAGCTTAACATCCTTTTCCGGTTATAACCGAGCTTAGGACACTGGTTTCCTGTTTTGTATGTGGACTAAGACCACAATTAAATACTTCCGGGTTCAGTACCCACGGATGAAGTCCCTAAAAAATGTATGTATGTTTGGGGAAAAAATAATATGCCTCTTTGAATTGGATGTTTGCCTATAAATTTGATGTAGATGTGTTATAGAGATGATAATCTAACTGTCAGTGTGTAAATCATTCATATTGAACATGTATTTTGTGCTGCAGGATCCGGTGTAAAAAGTCCTGTTTTCACCTTTACCCCTGACCCGGATGTATATAATTGACGTTGGTGACACACATGGAGGAATATCTCATCTCCAGAAAATGCCCAACATGATGGGTTGAAACTTTTACATTTTGCTTCTCAGATGTTGATCTTGGCCAGGTGAAATGGAAATTTGCAGATGAAACTTTGGGACTTAGTTATGAATTTTAATGTTACAATGAAATATATAGTGAAATTAATTGTGGTCTTAGTCCATGTATGATATTCAACTTGTTACTATAAATATACCACAACCTGGAATTCCCATCGTGTCAGCAGACACTACATAGGAGCCTATACGATAGAAGTGGAAGTTATACCTACGGCGGGACAAGTCATCGTGAGAAAAAATATCTAATATTGGATTTTTTTGCTTCCCAGACAAATACATCTTAATCTAATATTTACAGAAAGGAAGGTTTAACATGTTAAATGTTGTACGGATTTTAAAGCGTTAAAAATGACATAAATACAATGTTATTAATGAATCGGTCGTCGCGTTAATCAGAATGGATCGCTGGACCGTCGCGTTAGTCTATCTCAAAATGGATCGACCGTCGCGCTAGTCAGAATGAATCGACCGTCGCGTTAGTCTATCTTCATCAATGGTGTTACAATGTCCATAACATCAATGAATTAAGACAATGCATCATGTTCCAGATTTGAATAACCTGTCGTAAATGTATCGGAGTTTGATATCCAA